ATGTTTTATGACTCTCAAAGCCGTGATTCCCATTCACTTCCATTACAAGACTGACAGACTGCAACGGTTTGAGTTAAAAATCTTCGTTTGTGATCTACTGAAGAAACAAAGTCACCTACATCTTGGATGCCCTGGGGGTAAGCAGATAAACATCAAATTTTCATTTTTGGGTGAACTATCCCTTTAACTAACATTATCAATAAGTTTGGGATAGAGGATAGAGGAATGTATAGGAACATGAGGCAAACTTACCAACACAAGTGCCATCGGCACCAAGTGTATATCCAAGGATGCAGGGAGTGGACCGGCTCACTATTGGGTAGCTTGGACCAGGACCTGCTCCAACAGGAGGAACGTTAGGAATGAATGGTTCTGAATATCCCAGTGATCTGTCAGGGTAGGACTCTTCAGGATAGGAAGGCTCAGGATAGGAACGTGGACTGTTTCGGGCATAGGATTGGGAGTAGAGTCCGCGGGGGATGCACAGGTATCCACCGTTCTGATTTACACACTGCATGTCACCCCGACACGGGTCTGGCAGTGTCCGGCACTCATCAATGTCTGAAAGCATATGTTAGAGGTGGCATAAACAGCTGTATTTGAAACACAAGTTTCAATGAACATTTTAATAACATGGCAGAAGTGCCACTAACCGATACACTGTCTGGCACGGCGGTCATAAGTAAATCCATCTGTGCATGTCTGGAGAGAAACAGGCATTTTATAGTCAATGCAATAGATAAACAGCAGTTTATGGAGTTCTTTAAGTAGTTATGTTGAAGTAGCTTGATATTGCTATCGTATGCTAAAGTTAATGTTTATTTTAAAGATGTACAACAGAACTGGAAAAGCAAAAAAAACCAAAAACAAGTAAGGCACTCTTATTACGACACAAGTTGAGCAATAGTGCCTAGCTTGAATGACTCAAAACAAAATTCACTTACCTGACTTTTCCCGGAGTGAATGCAGCATATGATACATATTAAAATGGACAACATTCTATAAATAAAAAACAAAATACCTTGGTAAATCATTCTGAACATTAAAAACACGTGGAAATGTTTAAGTTTCATTCATTGGAATAAGCACTGAATGTCCATTCAAAACCAAGAATATCAACAAACACTCTTATATAAATTGGATCATTTTTACAAACTTATTTTCATGGTTTACATATTCTTTTGAAGCACCATGACAATGATAACATTTAATCCCTAAAAATATCTAATATCGGTTTTGATACTATCTCTTATTGTCTAGTAAGTAATCCACTAGTGACTAACATCTGTTAAATATGTCACTAGTAGGGTCTTCTTGTTTTTTTTAGGTAAATAAAATACTTATTCCAATCGTTACTAGTATCAATTCAGTTACATATTCATCACATACCAGCACTTCTTAATTTGGTACTAGTTACTATCCCAATAGTGACAAGTAACTATTCCATTGTTGCTGGTACCAAAATAGAAATGTCTTACCACAAAATTATTTTGGGATCTGTGGTTCAGCTATTAACTGTTCACTTCTGACTAGTAGGTATTCCAATTGTTGCTAGTATCCTTTCCAGTTTCACTATACATTGGTATTAGTATTTGTTCTAAAGAAATTGAAGACAGCTATTTATTGGACATTAGTATGAATATGAATCATTCAGAATACTTAGTACATATGATATGACAAGCTATTAGATAAGCATATGACAAACAAGAATAGGAATTGAATCAATGGCAGGTAGCAACTTGTCACTTATAACAATGGAATAGTTACTTGTCACTACTGGAATGGTAGCTAACAGCAAATGAAGAAGTACTATTGACTAATTGAATAGATATTAGTCACTACTGAAATAAGTGTAATCATTAGTCAGTTGATTACTTAGTAGCTAGATACAAGTTAGTTGTAAGTAATGTATGCTAAAACGGCTTGCCATGAATCACCAGCTGACTAATTAAACTCACCTTTTGTTGGTCGACCAACTCAAGCCACGTAGTTCAAATAACATGTTTATGTGGATCCTTGTGGTTCCCTTGGAAAGAACGTCACACCGCCGACCCGTAAACCCCTCGCAGTAGGAAACGAGTTGATCTTTGTGGTTTTACTACCTTTACGGGCTCGCAATACCCAAAGCGCAAAACGAAGTGCCCAAAGCGCCCCCTCCGCGTACGCGCGTTCACTTGAATGTCGAGACACTTGGCTTTGGTCACCCGATGCGGCCGCCCTGTCGACCGATGGCAGGAAAGTGTGAGAACATTGACCAATAGTAAGAGGAGGGTCTTACTATATAAAAAAGAGAAAACGCTGTATTTCTCCGTACTCGGCCCACTCCACGGATTGTTTAGCAATGCAAATAAACGGGCCCCCAGAGCACTTGGCCAACAGCTGGATCCCATCAAAGACAGACAGCCCCCTTTGGAACGAAAGCGCGCACAGGGAGCTGCTACAGACCCAAACGAGGAGAAGGAAGAAGGCAGTGAGGAAAACCGAGCAAAGAATCTATCAAATGACGCATCATTAAATTGTAAGGCTCACCAGCCTGCTTAAATTTAGAGGAGACTACTGTACGTTATGGTGTGGAGTCCTCACGTCAGACAGACCGCTTCAACCATCATCACTATGAGATATTCGTTAAGGCTGTTAGCAAGACAAAAAAAAAAAAAAAGTTACTTTAAGGACATAAAATTCTGACTAGGTGTGTAAAAAGACAGACAGACAGAACATGTATTTACATAAAATAAACTCTAGTTAGTGTAGGCCTATATTGTATGTAACCATGACTGCTCTCCGGTGCGACAAGTATTAGCGGAATTTCGAAAGTTTGTTTCACTTTACATTTCCAAAAATGTACATATCACAAATAGCCTTTATTACAAAATAGTTTATTTCACAAAAAATAAAATAATTAAATTAAATGAACATTAAACTGTGTTAGCGACACGACACCAGAGCTAACGGCTCAGAGTGACACTATAAATGACAATTTGTGTCACAATTTTTGAAACCTTAACTTAGCTATTTTTCTATTAACCTAAAAAATGGAACCTTAATAGATTTCTTGTCAAAAATTATCAAGGGCCTATATACATTTATTTATAAAAGTTGATTTCTGCCCACTGATTGGACATGATCACAGTAAGTGTCAACCTGACCTGCATCTTTTTAGCTATTGGCCAGTGTAAATATGCTGAAATAGCCTTGTACCGCTAACCTTTGAGCTGTTGACACACTCGGCCCACACACTTGACTGGGAGGCTGCACATACACAGGCAGAATTTGTTTTTATTGTATCCTTTTATGTCAACTAGCTTTGCTTTTGTCTATTGATTAATTGGGTTTAGAATATGGTTTGGCAGCACAGCAGTCCAGATGTGGACTGAAATCAGCAGGGAAGACTGTGCTGGGAGACTGAGACAGTTTATCAGAGATTTTTGGGCACAGATTAGGCTAGAAGATGGAGTCAGTGGTCAAATCACTGGGTAGCACACTGCCACACTCCCTCTCTGCTGCTCTCTTGAAATAACTCAACCATTCAGTGGCAGCTGTGTGAACTCAAGCACCAGGCTTACTACAGTATGGCAAAAGAGCAAGTTTTTTTGAGAGTTGCATCAGTTACGAGTACAGTGAGCCATTGAATGCATCAGTGATACATTACAGAACTTTTTTTTTTAATTGCTCAGACATTCATTAGACTCTTAAATACAAACATTTTCAGGTTCGAGGTGATCAAAGTCTGCCAGATTAACACACCCTCTAGGCAAAAGCCCATTTGGATTGAGATCTCGAGATATAAAAGAGGTTTAGACTTGATCTGACGCTGATAAAACAGACAGCAGAGTTATGATAGTTCAAATGTACACAATCTAACAGCAGGAAAAATGGCTGCAAGGAATGTGGGAGGCTGGAGCAGGTGTTCCCTGGTGAGGGCAGGGTTATTTTGTCTGGCTTTGTGAGTGCTGTGTGAGGAGAGTTCGCATTAAAATCTGACACCATGCTTACATTCACTATATCCAACACCCTTAAAGTGTTTCCACCATCTAATGCAATGCATTTGCTTCAAGGCAGCACAGATACTTGCTAGGATTCAAATGTGCCACTACAGCATTGAAATGTTTGTTTATATGAAGAATTAATAGTAATGCTTCTTGTGCTGAATTTAATGCATTGCTACATAATACACCTTGATAATAATGCCAAGTCATTACTTGCACTACCGTTCAAAAGTTTTGGGTCTATAAAGTTTTTTGTTTTTTTTGTCTCTTATGCTTACTGAGAATGCGCTTATTTGATCCAAAATGCAGTAAAATAGTAATGTTGTGAAATGTTATTACAATTCAAAATAACATTTTAAAATGCAATTTATTCTACTACTTTCTGTTGATTTGGTGCTAGAATTAGCTTTCTTATCCATTATCACAGTTAACAGTTGGCTGACTAATATTTTTTCAGGATTCTTTGATTAACAAAGTGAAAGGGACAGCATTTATTAAATATGTACACACACACACACACACATATATATATATATATATATAAATGCATTGCTACATAATACACCTTGATAATAATGCCAAGTCATTACTTGCACTACCGTTCAAAAGTTTTGGGTCTATAAAGTTTTTTGTTTTTTTTGTCTCTTATGCTTACTGAGAATGCGCTTATTTGATCCAAAATGCAGTAAAATAGTAATGTTGTGAAATGTTATTACAATTCAAAATAACATTTTAAAATGCAATTTATTCTACTACTTTGTTGATTTGGTGCTAGAATTAGCTTTCTTATCCATTATCACAGTTAACAGTTGGCTGACTAATATTTTTGAGAAAACTGTCATACATTTTTTCAGGATTCTTTGATTAACAAAGTGAAAGGGACAGCATTTATTAAATATGTACACACACACACACACACACACACACACACACATATATATATATATATATATACACACACACAATGTTGGGTGTAATGCATTACTGAGTAATTAATTACTGTAATTTAATTTCCCCTTAAAAAAGTAAAGTAGGGGATTACTCTTCATTTTTATGGAATTTAATTAGTTACTTCTGATGTAATTGCATTAAATAGTGTATAGACAACAGCTCAATTCTGTATAAAAAACAATAGTTTACATCAAAATTGAACATCTAATGTTATGGTTTTTAATGTAATCTTCTCCCTTAAAATATTTTGGTTAGTTCATGAATAATTTATGCAATTTTATTTATTTGAAAGAAATACAATCCTTGTATTGTTCAACTGGTTGAGGATGTTTAGAAAGTAATTAGTAATGCAATAGTATTGCAAAAGTCTTTACTGTCACTTTTGATCAATAAAATCATCCTTGGTGAAAAAGAGTATTCATTTCTTTGAAAAAAAAAAAATATATATAAATAAAAATCATACTGACTCCAAATTTTTGAATGTAGTGTATGTATATCCACAACTGGACGTCAAAATATCAATATAGATTTAAACTGGTTAAATGTTCCAAGAATCTATGCACCAGATTAGACATGGTTCCACTACAACTGGAATTCCAGACAGGGTTTTCCCTAGAGACATATTGGGAAAGACGGACATTCCCTTTTGAGGTTAATCTGGTCTGATAATGCTCTAGACCACTGCCTCCATAAGCACTTTTAAATTACAGCCTTGCGATTATATAGTCTGCAGGGAAAAAAGAAAACACAGATGCAACAAATGCACTGTTTCCTTGTATAAGTCTTGTATATGGAAAAGTACTGCACAATTTATGGATTAGATTTACTTATTAATTACCAAACAGCAGGAGTTCCTTTTGCAGAGTTATCATTAAGAGACCTATTTCTAAATGAAAACACTATTACAAGTGAACTTTAACAACTTCATATTAAAAAAGCTCTTAAGCGGCTAAATAAATAAAATAAAAGGGAAAATGCAAATATACATAGAATAGTTTATTCAGGAGAAAAGAGAAACACTGTTGTTGACCATCACTTTCATGAGCAGTCTTTCAAACTTCAAAAAGATTGATCAACTTTAAATAAACACCAGCGCAAAATATATACCCTAAAATGTATAATAAATGTATCCTAAATCTATAGATTTTAAGTGCACCCAACTTTTATGAAAGATATAGTAACCAAAAAGAGAATTACTAAGGCCATTTTCTCAAAAAACAAAAAAACAACAAAAAGTTATTCTTCATATTAGGCCTTAAGGAAATAGCGTTTTTAAATATTTGGTTGGAACCCACTGAATTAGGAGTCCGGTGTTATAATAAACTAATGTTTATTATAACAGAGGTGTATTATTTGTTTATTAAACAATTTTAAAATATACAGGTCATTTTTACACTTAATTTGCATTTTCATTTTCCTTTATGTGTGCATGTTTTCCAAATTGTATATACATAATACAATAGTTTCTTTCTACCTTAAAAAGGTCTGAATATTGCAGATACATTTTAGCTTATGCCCACTGCATAAACAGTGAAAAATATGATTGATGTACAAATAAATAACTGCACGCTTGTACTGCATGGGAGCATGAGCAGCAGTCTAAATCCAAGATCAAATGTCACTTCTTGATTAAGTGCTATTGTACCTGCCGTACCATACGGCCAACCAGTCATAGCACTTAAAACGGGAGGATTTTGAAAGACTATCTGTAGCGTTTTTGCAGAAGTGGAAAAGGTTTAATAAATCCATTTGTGTAGTGGATGCCAGACAGCATCAGACAGTCTCTCAACACACTAGAAAAACATTAAACACCTCTCTTTGTCTAAAAATGACAAGCTGAATGTTTGCACGACATTAAATAAATGTTGGGAGAAGGTCACAAGAATATTTCATAATGTAATCTTCCCCAGCTTGTAAACAGAATTAAATTCTGTCAAACTTAGGCCTCAGTTTATTCAAATTTAACAAGCACGGCAGCCCTTAGATGTTTTATCTTTCTTTTATTCCGATGGCAATCAGCCATTTCAAACAGAATTAAATTCTGTCAAACTTAGATGTTTTATCTTTCTTTTATTCCGATGGCAATCAGCCATTTCAGTAAATAGTAAACAGTAAATATTTGAATCCATGACATGGCCCAGTTTTCTGTTTCCATCTGCCGGAACGTAGTGTCCTGTTAAGCTAAAGTGCTTTGAGTAGCAGTACAGGTGGCTGATATCACTGCTTGAGCAAATCTTTGAGCACAGCTCCACCGCTGGCCTCAGCCGACACAGGTACAGGTGTAAAGGTGGGCAGGGCGTCTGAGATGGGCTTCATAAGCAGGTGGCCCCCAGCACCTGCAGTGCTGCCTGCACCTGCGGGATTGAGGAGGGGTACGGCTGCAGACCGGGATGCCAGGAAGGGGTTTGAATCCCCAGTGCGCTTACCTGGGCCTGAAACACCTGAAAGAACACAGATCACAGATATACAAGACCTGTTTGTACCAAGAAAGATAGTTATGATAATAGCTATATTGGTGTTCAGACCAACAAGGAATCGTAAAACGTAAAATCTAAAATCAGATGGATCCTAATTGGTTGTCAATGTGTGTATCGTTTATCAGGAGGAAAACATTTGTTCTGAAAGTCATTCCAACGATATTGTTCCTCTATGTTATTATCATTTTAGCTGTGGTGTGGACTTCCACATTTTCAAAGAATAAGAACAATTATTACAACTTTTTGGTTAACATCCCTGGTATGAATGGGCCTGACCTATGAAGTGTAAAGTTTTTTTTTTTTTTAATCATGGACGCACCAATATTAAAATTCTGGCCAGTAACGAAAGCTGAAAATTATTTTAATGTTATAGCGGATAATTGACAAACATTTCATATTAACTTTTATACCATTTTGGCAAAATAAATAATATATTTTTTATAATATTATAAATAATAATATAAATAAATTAAATAAATGTTTAACCTTTTAAAAAAATTCCAAACTATTTATCTTGAGATGCACTATGTATTACAAATAAATATATAAAAGACTAACTCTAAAAAAAATTTCTAAAAACAAAAATTCCAAAACTATCATTTATAAAGTTCAGTAAAAAATAGTGTAAACATAAAAAAACTAATATGGGCTAATAACAACAAAATAAAATAAAAAACTATTATGCTAACAATATATTGTGCATCTCTAGATTTTATGTGACATTATACCTGATGCAGGTGTGCTTGCAGTACTCCGGCCAGGTGGGGGCGCACTCAGAGGCTTGATGTCATAAACAGGTAATTTAAGGGCAGGAAGTGCAGGAGTAGACTCCACCTCCAGGAACTTCACGAACATCTCAGAGAAGGACTTTAAAACACAGACATTAGTGTAAGAGGAAGATGCATGTGTATAATAATGTGTGTGTGTGTTCATGCATTTCTATGTGTGCCTACCGAATTGAGGCTCTGTGTATGGGTAGGCCTTTGGGGAGTGTTGGGTACACTCTGAACAGCTCTGCCTCCCAGCCAACTCGAGACCCATCCGGTCACCCCACTCTTGCCTCCTTCCTGTAACAACTGCAGAAATAGAGAACAGTAAGTCAGTAGGACAGTAGGTCAGAGGGAATGTTTGTGTGTGTGGTCTTTGGTGTGGTTTTCCCTCTCTTACTCAACATAACTGTGTAAAGTTCAAAGAGGTACTGCTACAAAAATGTCCCTGTCCTCAAAGCACTCAGACCAGAGCAAATGAATGCAACCTTTGAAATAAAACCACTGAATCAGACTTTTTAACCACAAAAGAAGACTAGGATTATTTTTAGTTTTTAGAGTTGTAAACAAAGAGATCTTGAGTGGAAAACTTAATGTGTAGCATAAAAAAAAAGGTGTGGAGTGGAAAAAGAAAATATGGGTTGAAATGGAAAGTGGATTGTGTGACCCAGAAACACACACACTCATATTTACTTTCCTTCTCTCCCTCTTTCTTCTCTGGGGGCTGTTGGGTAATTCTGCTCACAACTTGCTAAATAGTTGGAGTCTCTCCTGCCAGACTCCAGCCTACTTCTATGGAATGGAATTGTGGGTAAGGAAATGCTTTTGGGGTAAGGTTGGCATGAGCCCGTCATCTAATTCAGTCTTTGTCTCTCGCAGTCTCTAACTGCTGATTTCTGCCTGCTGTCTGTGTCTCATATTGTTTGCTTGCTTTATCAATCTCTTATTTCCATCTGTCATCTGTAATAAGAACCATCAGGATTGGACTTGAAACATGTTTTTATGACAAAATTTGAATATATGAACAGCATACTCGGTATATTAATGAAAAACAAAATGAGAAAGTGAAAAAAACAACTGTATTAATGGTAGAAATAATTGCCATTTAGGTGAGTTTCATCTAGAAAATGACCTTAATTCAGATCAAAAATGTATACTGGTGTGAGGGTATGTATTAAATTCTATAATAAGGTTGTGTTGTCTTATGTAAATTACTATTTATTTTCTTTATGCACTTTTCTGGTCCTACTGTGAACAATTTATTATGCATGCTAAAACGAAACATAATACTCTCTCTTCCTCTGAAATAAATTTCCAAGTCACTTAGGCTGCTCAGGATATTAAATGATGTTATCCAATAGCCAAATAGCTAATTAAAGTTTGAGCAAACGTGCATTCCCATTCTGGTATGTAACGCCCACGTTTCACAGTCAAATTAATTCCCATTTTTCCCTCACTGAATATCCAGCTTCACTTGGAAATACAACACATTATGGAAGTAAAATGGGTTGCGAACAACTGGAGCACAATTTGATGAAAAAGGAAAAAGCACATACAGATTTTGACCCTTCGAGGACAATAGCTAAAATGATTATGGCTTTTCCAAGAAAGAAAAAAAAAAATTGAGCCACATCCTGCTTTATCATCAGAACTGATCTGTTCCTGTTATTGAGAAAACCAGCCCCACCAGGATCAAAACGGAAAAACAGCAATTCGAACAGAAAACAAATCAGCTCTATAAGCAGTCCGCCAAATGAATGCGGTCATATGCGTGCAGAGTTTCCGGGGATGCTGATGTGACATTTAGTACAGGCTGTCCTAACAAGAACAGAAACCTCTATACTCAGAGATTACCAGCGAGGACCGAATGCAACTTGAAATCATCCTTCAAAGGTCTCAAACAAGGACTTTTTTCAACAAGACCAGCGTGGGCAGTTTGAGGTCTGTGCCAAATTAAACACATGAGGTAAGATGAGTGGAAAAATCTTTTTAACATCTGATAAAACCTTCACGCTGACATCAAACAAGAGATAATTGTTAAAAAATGTAATTAGAGAACCGAACATAAGGAGTCAGGAGGTCAAATATTAAATCCACACGTTTAATAGTCACGTTTCAAGGGTGAGACAAGAACTGGAGCAGAGCCACATTTGAGAGTGATGAAAAGTAGGAGGAATTCCACAAAACGGGTCAGACAGAATGGTGAATGGCTGGCTGCTCCTTCTCTTTGAAAAATTGGACTTGACAATAGGGCTGCACGATTATGACAAAAATCATAATTGTCGATTATAAACAATGCAAAAACCCATAAGATAACATGTAGAAAGAAAAAAAACATGTTAAGCGTGCAGAATAACATAAGTGGACTTTGAACGATTAATTGCCGCTTTGAACGATTACGTAATTGTGGCATCCATAATTGTAATCGCGATTAGAAATTCGATTAATTGTGCAGCCCTACTTGACAATATCTGATGAATGTAAATATGTAGGCACATGCACATTTGCATTTGCGAAGAGGAATACTTGCATTTAAAAAGTACATTCAAAAGGGAGGATAAAGAGAAATCCACAGTATGAGAAGCAGAGAGCGCTGACTCACCTCGGACACCTCATCTCGGTCCAATCCAAGCACATTACCCATAAGCCTCAGCACCTCAGAGCGCTTGTTTTGGGGGGTATGAAAATAGCCCAGGTAAAGATTCTTCATCAGAACCCTGTGTCAGAAGTTAATCATGTTAGATGATATTTCACAGGAACACCCTTTTGAAAATATTTGGATCTACATATATATACAGTGGGTACGGAAAGTATTCAGACCCCCTTAAATTTTTCACTTGTTTCCAGTGCAGATGTGTTTTGGACTCACTTATCCACTTTGCCTTCGGTGCTGTTCAGGAGGTTCATCAGTTTTCTCTGAGCCTCTTCCAACATCTCCTGTCTCACATCCGCTGCAAAACACACACAGGTACAAGTTTTAGTATTTTGTGGTATTTTCCCATACATTGCTGTCACAGTTAGGCTCGTGAGTTATGGGCTAATTCATAAAATCAACATATTAATAAAAAATAATTTAATTTGCTAATGTCTGGCTTCTGTCAGGTATGGTAGTGTCTAAGGGTCCAAAAACTTTTTCCTACACACGATTCTTTTTAATTTCTGGCAATGACTGAATTTTATACATATACACACTACAATTCAAAAATTTGCAGTCAGTAAGACTTTTTTTTTTTTTGAAAGAAAGCAAGCAAGAAAGAAAGAAAGAAATTATTACTTTTGTAAAGCAAAAGCATTAAATTGTACAAAAGACACAGTAAAACATTTATGTTACAATAAAATAGATTTTTCAAATAAATGCTGTTCTTTTGAACTTTCTATTTAACATAAAACCCTGAAAATGTATCATGGCTATCATGACTGCTTTTCAAGACTGATAATAATAAGAATTTTTTTTGAGCACCAAATAAGTATATTAGAGTGATTTCTGAAGGATCATGTGACACTGAAGACTTAATTTGTAGTAATGGCTGGTAAAAAAAAAATATATCAGCTTTGCCATCACAGAAATAAATTACATTTGAAAAGATATTAAAATACAAAGCAGTTATTTTAAGTTGCAATAATATTCACAATATTACTGTATTTACAGTAATTATTTTATCAAATAAATGTAGCCTTGATGAGAAAAAAAAAAATCTCACCAACCACAAACGTTTCTTACATTTACGCCACATTATTATGCTGAAGTTCCTTATAAAGTCACAAGCCACTGGCTTTTTTTTCCTAGACAAAGCTAATTTTACATGCACTTGGTGGGTGTTAAATTTGGATGCTGTGTTTGTGAGATGCAGACAGAGCTTTCAGCAGGAGGTGGTATATGACTTTGTTATGCATTAATGCAAACAGTAGAGAACAAGTGTTTGTACTGAAATAATAAGTATGTGTGTCTGCAGCTTAACATAAACAGTAATAACTGTGGTATGGGGTTCAGTGTGTCTGGGAATGTCTCGTGGAGTAAAAACAAAGAAGTGTGAGAATATGACATGCAATAAATGCCTTTATCACAAACGCCCCTCGCTGGTCCAGACCATTTGGCTCTTGAGAACCCTTTTCCTCTGAGACTTTACCTCCTGAGACCACACGAACTGAGCGATAAGAAAGGGTGAGAGAGTTCCTGTCTGCGCTAAACACCCTGGAATGTCTGTCAGCTGCACTTGTGCTTTGCTAAGAAAAAATGAACCATTCTTGATCATTCTGTCTATGGTCTCTTCAATCGTTTTTTGACAGATGCAGTAAAAATCCCAGCGCTCATCCCTTAACCTCCTCTCCCTCTCAGACCGACAGCACCGTACTGTTGATTTGGGGCTTGATACGGAGAGAGAAGAAAGGGATAGGTGAGATAGAAAGACAGGGTGGATGGAAAAAGAGAATCTTTGTCTACACAATTTGGCTACTGACATGCCATAAATATTATCTCTCTGACAGAGAGGAGATGCGAAGGAATGCTAAAAATCTATACCATCTACAGACTTGGCTGTTCTCTGCATCTCTCTTACAAACACAAACATGTGTGTTTCTTAATGTCTGCACTGATATGAATCAAACTTAAACCACTACATAAAGCAGTCTCAAAGAGTCAAACATAATTTAATGGATCCTGATGTTCCTAGTCCCATTGACGTTCACGAGTCTCTTCAGAAAAATGGTTTACAGTGCTACAAATCTGAGAAAATTTCATATAATGTGCCGTGAGTTGTGTGTCAACTCGGCTTGAGAGCTAGTCTTTTCGCAAAATTTTTGTGGCGTATTTTAGTGTTTTATGGGATTGTGTCTGCTGTAATGGATATGATATTATACATAGCAAAGTCACAAAGTAAAATGCTTCTTTTTAATAACTATTATTTTTATTAACCAATAACTACAACATGAACTCAGTTACAATGCACATTATGCACAATCTGAATTCACTTGAATCAAATAAATTACTGAGAAATTTGAATCAAACTAAATTAAGAGATTCTGAATCAGAATCAAACTGACCCAGCCTTAGTTTTTTTTCCTGTGGTTGATTAGTCCCCAATGGCCATTTAATTTGAATTTTGTATTTCTGTATTCTGCATCCTTCTTTATCAAAATAAATTCGGAGATTCTGAATCAGAATCAAACTGAATCAGGAAATAAATGCTGATACACAGCCTGTTTTTTCTATGATTGATTTATTTGAATTGTGCTTCTGTATTTTCTTGATCATATTCAGTGGTTCTCAACAAAGGGGCCAGGGCCTTAGCAAACGTCCAATGGGACAAAACCTTATTAAAATGCTAACAACACAAAAATTAAGATGTAAATTAATATTTTCCCATTAAATAACAATTATCTTTATTGAAATCACACAGACCATTATAAAATCACAAAATAAATAGTTTTTAATTAATTTAATATATCAACACTCAGAGTTTCTGTTACGAAAGTTGGAAAACAACCAACTTAGTCAACTTAATTTAGTCCGATTTTCATGCTCTTTCAATCGCGTAAACTGTGCATTTACATCCCATCTCCGTTATCACGAAACCCACGACACACAACAAAAACAGCTCCGATCACAGCGACCTCCATTCACTGGTTGTTGACGTTTGAAAATGCAGCGAATGAAGACGTAGCTTTCGACCACTTCAGAGTTCCTGCTGTCGGTGCGAATGCAACCAGGAAAATTGCCCAAGGGGGGAAAATTGTCCTCTAGGCACCACCATGCTGGCCAATTCCTAGAACTGAGTTCCTAGAACTACAAAGCCCCTAATGTTGTCATAATAACCGCAGAAATACCAGAGGAATCATCTTAGCCAATATGGGAGGCCTTCAAGTCTAAAGGTTGAGAACAACTGTCCTTGTTAAACAATAAGGTGAAATGCTGAGATAATCGGATTTCAGCAGTCATTCACTTGATGACATTTGGTCTCACCTAGTTTCTTCAGATCTTCTATCTCTTCCTCTTTGAGGTCCAGCTGGTCAGTGAGGCGAGAGGCAGATTCTAGAGCTGCGTTTGCTTCATCCAGGTTTATCTAAGATTACACGCACAGACACAGAACATTAACATAAATACTTGTGTCAAACACAGTGCAGAAAGGACAGAGGTTTGTACACAATAGGGCTGGGCGATATGTCAAAAATATCTTATCGATAATCGCCTCTAAAAATATCGCGATATCTGATAATATCGTCTACCTAAGCCCCACCTCCACCACGCCCCGCCCCCGCCGAGACAACATTTCCGACATGCACCATAAACACACACCAGGTTCAGTTTGGTCTTAATTATTGCCACAAAGTTTGGTTTTACTTTTCTTAGTTTGTGCTTAAACTAACAGAAAACATTAGCTTTGCTGTTATTTTGGTGTTGCTAATAATTTCCACTCTGTTCTTATGAAATTTGTGCTTGAAATGAATTTTGTTTTGTGAGGAGAACCGTTGAGGAAAAATAATAGAACCCAATTTTAAGTTCATCATGGTGAGGCTGGACATTCTGGCGGTGATTGTAAGAATGATAAATTCATCTTGATGTCATATAGTAATGTCCTGAATAACATATGCCTATATTTTCCGATGTTTCTGATCTTTTTGGCATTATCGCCTGTGTAGACACATTTCATGATGGTAAGTTTAATTTCCTTAATTATAACAATTGCAGTGTTGTTTTTAAACTTGTAGTCAAGCTATAACGTATTTGATATTTATCATGTATGACTAAAATCATGCAGGGATTAAAAACGTATTCTGAGCAAAACCGTTAAGGTTTTTTTTCCCTGTCTGGTAGCCTACTAGTTCGGAGGTCTCTTTTGGCCTGTTTTTAACAAAATAAAAATAACTGCTTTATTTATTTAGAAGCAGGGTAATTTAAATTTCATTTTTGTATTGTCATTTTTATCATTTTTATTTTATTAATCAAAATACAATGCCCATGGCACAATATAATATTCAGTGTTGGGCTGCCGAAACTCCGAACGCATGCATGTTGAGGGGCGAGCTGAGAAGCGTACTAATGTCTTCATCCCTTTGCAACAAAACTTTATACTTTAAACTTTTGTTGCAAATGAATTAAGAATTTATAGTGCTATATCTCAGCTTAATTAAACATAATTATATTGTAAACACGGTTTAAAAAATCTGTAAAAATTGTGCGTTGAAGGAATTTGCGTATTTTAATTATACCGGTCATGTTTGTGGTTTTTCATCATTATACAGTCTGTTTAAATAAATATTCAGAAACACACGCAGTGCTACTTTTTGTCTTTTTTTCTGTTTAACTTTTATTAAACTGCAGATCAAAATAGAATAGGCCTCCTATTCTATTTTGAATAGGAACGGATTTTGAGGTTAGAAACGGATCCAATACACCCTTGTTTCCTTTCTCAACTCTTTACATTCACTTAAAACATAACGATTGTATTCACGGGATATTTTGAAATAAATCTGTGTGTATTTGTCCATTTGAATGTGCGAGAAAGAGAGCTCAGTCCCGTGTTTGCGTATATAAGAGGTGGCTTTTGTGCGTGCGCTTTGTGTGTGTGCGCACCACAGAAAACGCGCGAGTGCAGAAGTGAGTTCTATTTCATCTTTTGAAGTGACGTGACATGTGGCCAAGTATGGTGACCCATACTTGGAATTAGTGCTCTGCATTTGAACCCATCCAAAGTGCACACACACAGCAGTGAACACACACACACTGTGAACACACACCGGGGAGCAGTTGGGGGTTCGGTGCCTTGCTCAAGGGCACCTGAACGGATTTTGAGGTTAGAAACGGATCCAATACACCCTTGTTTCCTTTCTCAACTCTTTACATTCACTTAAAACATAACGATTGTATTCATGGGATATTTTGAAATAAATGTGTATTTGTCCATTTGAATGTGCGAGAAAGAGAGCTCAGTCCCGTGTTTGCGTATATAAGAGGTGGCTTTTGTGCGTGCGCTTTGTGTGTGTGCGCACCACAGAAAACGCGCGAGTGCAGAAGTGAGTTCTATTTCATCTTTTGAAGTGACGTGACATGTGGCCAAGTATGGTGACCCATACTTGGAATTAGTGCTCTGCATTTGAACCCATCCAAAGTGCACACACACAGCAGTGAACACACACACACTGTGAACACACACCGGGGAGCAGTTGGGGGTTCGGTGCCTTGCTCAAGGACACCTCAGTCGATTGGTTAACAAATCTGTCTAAATCTGTGTTAGTGAGCACTTCTCCTTTGCCGAGATAATCCATCCACCTCACAGGTGTGGCATATCAAGATGCTGATTAGACAGCATGATTCGGGATCGGGAAAGGTCCACGAGCTGGGACTCGAACTCGGGACGCCCCAAGCGCAACGGTGCTATGTGTCACGCGCTGCCCATGAGGCTATTGGCACCGACAGCAAATTCTGGTTTTAAGCAAGCAATCACACCAACAGACTGAAACAGACCCACCTTGCACTCTCCACAGCATTGGAGGAAGATGTTAACCGCTCTTCCAGGAGTGCCACTCTGCGTCTCAGCTCTCCCTCTCTGTCCTCAGCTGCCAAAGCCTCACGTGTGTATGAATCCTCAATCTCTAACAGGTGAATGCGCAAACGCTCCACCTCCTGCTTCAGGCGCTGCTCTTTATCTCGTGTGTGCTGCAGCTATATACAGAAAGTACATGAAAGTACAGCAATTCCCACAAATTAAAATATATTTTTAATGGATGCAACTGGATATTAAATTGAATTGGGACAAGGTAACATTTAACGTTTTCAATCTTTTAGTAAGGCAATAAAGCACAGCAATTTAATATTGGCCTTTGCTACCTCACTCTGAAGAGCAGTCGTCTCCATTTGTTTTTGTTTGAGGGCCATCATCACTTGATCTCTTTCCTGCTGAAACAACACTGCCTTCTCCTGCATGGACTTAACTTCATTCAACAATTGGTTCAGCTCACCAGATTTACCCTGCAGTACAGACAAAGGCAGAATAGGTCAACTTCACAACACATATAGAACTAGAACAGTCCAGAACAAGTTGCATGCCTTCATTGGCATTAACATTACAAATGTGAATTGTTCCCACTGCAATTATTTTGGAGAGTTGGGTGAACAGGAGAGAATTAAATAATAATGATAATTAAATAAAATCCAAAGTTACTACTGTTCAAAATTGTAGGATGAGCAATATTTTTTGTTTTTGAAAGTCTCCTATGCTCAATAAGGTTACATTTATTTGATCAAAAATACAGTAAAAACAGTAATATTGTGAAAAAGTTATTTTAAATCAAATTTAAAATAACTTTTCTTTTTTATTATTTTAAAATGTTATTTCTTCCTTAGAGAGCAAAGCAGAATTCTTTGATTAAGAATTTCTAACATTTTAAAAAGCATTTTAATGTATTTTTTACACATTGTTTGTATTTAAAAACACACAAACAGACAAACCTGCTCTTTATCTTTTAGCATCTTCTCCATGGCAGTGGCCTTCTCATTCACAGCACTGAACTAATTAGTGCTCTGCATTTGAACCCATCCAAAGTGCACACACACAGCAGTGAACACACACACACTGTGAACACACACCGGGGAGCAGTTGGGGGTTCGGTGCCTTGCTCAAGGGCACCTTAGTCGTGGTATTGAAGGTGGGAGAGCTTTTGGTTACGAGTCCGACTCTCTAACCATTAGGCCACAACTTCCTCCCTTATTGCAGTTGAATCTTTTGAAATCACAATAAATGCGCATACAGAAATCGAGAAGCAGAATCGAAATGTAATTTTATAACAAGTAATTTGATTCCTGACCTTACACATCTGATCTTATTTCAGAAATTGGAATAGCTTTTTGATTGCCAACCCTCCTACTAAATTATTTCATTCTTGCATGCAAAAAGACCTGTATGGTGACTATGGGGCTATGTAAAATATTTTTTGCAACTTACTAGATTTATAATTTGTCATTTTTTTCCCTGATAATGAAGATAATCGTCTGTTACCTGACTGTTGACATCGACATCGCGATACTTACGAGACATCGTCGATATACGATAATATCGTCATATCGCCCAGCCCTAAAATACAATGAATATGACATGATTATGCAAATCAAGCTAGAGGTTTTCAGTTATATAATTGCAAGTCAATAATATTGATTCATACTGAATGGCAACAGGCTTGATTAATACATGTGAATACATAAAGCAGGGATAGTTCAGACATACAGTGTGGTTTTTTAAATGAACATACCTTTCTATACTATAAATATGTTTTTAACACCATAAATGATACAACATGCCATTAACCCTTGTAGGCTGCATGTTTTAATTTACAAGAAAAAATAAATCATGTTTGGAAAGAGGACTCCTCTTTCTGCCTTCTCATAGATGACAGAATTCCGAAGAACCCTGGAGTTGTGGACACTTCCTGGCCAACCTATGTTGATGTTTGTGAAACAATTGAGGGGTTATATTTGATCAAAAATACAGTAAAAACAGTAATATTGTGAAAAAGTTATTTTAAATCAAATTTAAAATAACTTTTCTTTTTTATTATTTTAAAATGTTATTTCTTCCTTAGAGAGCAAAGCAGAATTCTTTGATTAAGAATTTCTAACATTTTAAAAAGCATTTTAATGTATTTTTTACACATTGTTTGTATTTAAAAACACACAAACAGACAAACCTGCTCTTTATCTTTTAGCATCTTCTCCATGGCAGTGGCCTTCTCATTCACAGCACTGAACTGAAACTCTTGTTCCCGAAGCAGCAGTGACACCTGCATGTTGGTTTCCTGCAGGGCACGGAACTCTGTCTCTTTATCACGAGCTTTTGACGCTATCGCTTCATTCTCCTCCTTTAGCTTCTTCACATCGAGTTCCAGGATCAGGGCACGCTCCTTCAGATTTGTCACAGCCTGCTTCAAGACCTCGTTGTCATTTTCACGATTACGTAAACTTTCACTCACCTAGTTTGTACAAGAAAAAAATATCACATAAGGTTAGGATTAACAAAATTATTCAGAGATTTTTTAAGTGCATCTAAAATCATAACACATTTCATGTGCAAACTTTGGAATGTAAACAAAATCTAAAATCTGACATTTTACTCCTTCAAGCCATTCAACACATCAGAATTGTAAGTCACCTGACACAGTTGGTCTCCCTTGGTCTTAATGAGCAGATCTTTCTCTCTGAGGGAGCGCTGTAGCGATTCTTGCTTCTCTCTGGCCTGCTTGAGCTCCTCTGCATGGCTTCTCTGCTCACTTTCAGACAGAGATGCAGAATTTGACAAGCGATGATTGTTTTCCTGCAGAATTCTTATCATGCTCTCCTTCTCTACTAAAATTCTCTGCATTGACTGCAACTCTTGATGTAGGCTCTCATCTTGGCCTGTTGACATCGACATCGCGATACTTACGAGACATCGTCGATATATGATAATATCGTCATATCGCCAAGCCCTAGTACACAAGTATGTTTGAACTGACTTGCAGAGCAGCTGCCTGATCATGAAGATTTTCTGCTTTAGTTCTCCACTCTTCTTTCTCCCTCTTGTGTTTTTCCAGTTCTGCCGAGTACATGGCTTTTTCTTCTGTAAAGGGAGATACAAATGTCAACATTGTTCAAGACTGAAGACTTATTGCAGATTCCTCTCTTAATCCAAACATTTTAAAAAAGAAATATCTGAATATTACACTCCAATCTACATTTGTAAATACTTTAATAGCCTTCATTCCATACAAGAAAGACTATTTTCTTAATAAATTACAATAATACTGGAATAGCAAAAAATAATGTGCGCACTTGCCTTGTTGAAACTGTTCTAGCACCATCTGCAGGTTAGAGAGTGACACTGCATACTGGTTGACCTGATCCTGAGAAGCACGGAGCTGAATAAGTGCTTCATCTCTCTGTCTGACAGCACCATTCAGCTGCTCCTGAAGAGACTCGACCTGCAGGCTAGCCTGCTGACTACACACACACACAGTTAGAGACATTAGTGAGGATAAACCAATATAAGTATATACTAGTATTAATAATATATATATATATATACGACAAGCGATGATTGTTTTCCTGCAGAGTTCTTATCATGCTCTCCTTCTCTACTAAAATTCTCTGCATTGACTGCAACTCCTGGTGTAGGCTCTCATCTTGGCCTGGTGGTGCTGCCCCCTTCAGGTTTGGAGGGGCAAAAGCCTGGGTGGCCATCATAGCGGAAGCGTCTGGAGATTGCTTGCCACTGCCAAGCTTCCCAAGCAGGACGTCTTTGGTACTACTTAGCTGGCTGATGGTCTGCTGCACCTGTGCCAGCTCTTGACTCAACAATCCCAGCTTTTTCTCTTTCTGCTCATAGCTCTGAATAAGTCTGGAGTAATCCACCGAGAGCTTTGAGCTGCAGTCACTATCTGCAGAAACCTGCCCCTGCAGCTTGAGCAACTCCTCTTGTAGCTGAGCAGATTCATGCTGCATGTTCCTCACAGTCGTGATAACCTGCTGCTTCCACTCCTCCATCTTCTTCACTTGCTGTTTGAGAGCGTCACGTTCTTGTAGGAGCTCCTCAAACTGGTTGCTGCTAACACCCCCCAAGCCACCACTTACAGAATCGCCTGCACCAGATGTCTGGAGGACAGAGACCAGGGTCTGACATTTCTGAGTCAAGGCGTCAATCTCGATATCCTTCTCACGAATGATGCGGGAGAGGTTCTGAATGGTCTCTCGAAACATCTCTTGACTGCCTGAAGGGTCGCTCATAGTGGAGAGCCGCTGATTTTCTTGCTGGAGCTTCAACAAGGCGGCTTCCTTGGCTGCAACAATGTCCATAATGCGATGGTAGTCTGAACGCAGCTGGCTGTTTTCTCTGGTTTTCTCGTTGAGCACGGCCAACACCTGTTCACGTTCCACCGCATACGCCTGCAACTGCTGCTGCAGGAACACCACATCTTGACCATGGCCACCAGATACTCGAGCGTGGAGGGCCTGGATTTCTAGATCTTTTTGAAGCACCATCTGCGAGAGTTTTCCCAGCTCATTTTGAGAGACCACAAGCTGGTCGAGCTGTTTGGTTAGAGACAGGTTCTTCTCATTTAGCTGGTTAATCTCGGTCTCTTTCTCCTTGATGCCTTTCACAAGCTTCTCAATCTCCACCTTCGAAAGGTCATGTTTCTCGTTACCGTTTTCGCCATTCAGCGACTGGGTCTTGTCCTCCTGTAGGATTTCTACGGACTGTATTTGACTCTGTCCTTGTGTGCTCAGGACCTCCATTTCTGACTGAAGCCGGACAATCTCCTCATCCTTAGCAGTGATAAGTCTTTCATAATTGAGTGAGCTTTGTTCATGTCTTGTCCGTGCTTGCTCAAGTTCACTCTGTAGCACCTGCAGAGAACGCTGGGACTGCAGCGCTGTAGCCTGCTGCTCCTCTGATACCTTTCTCAATGATTGGACCTCTTCTTCGAGTTGATCTCTGGCAGCTTTGAGCTGGGCCACCTCAGTCTCAAGCTCTGTGATGATATCCAGTGTCCGTGGCTCTGACAATAATGGCGGTCTGCTTTGCTGGTCCCTCAGACGATCAATCTCTTCTTTTAGATGGCTGTTTTCTTCCTTCATGGCTCCAAGCTGTTTGTCCTTCTCCTCCACCGACTTTCTTAGAGAGTCACACTCTTGAGCTGCTCCCAAGAACTTGCGCTCTAATTCCTGTTGTGCTTCTGCAGCTTGAGCTTTTAGGGTTTCGGCAAAGGCGTCCTTCTCCTGCAAAAGCTCGGTGAGTTGATTTTGGCCTGCCACAGTGATGTCCAGCATCTCACTGGTGTCTTTGTGGTCAGAGACCATCTGCTCCATCTCACACTTGAGCTCTGCAATTGAGAGATCTTTTTCCTGATTCAGCTTCACCATTCGCTCGTGTTCGGTCTGTAGCGCAGAAGCATCCAGAGAGCGTGCTCTGGTTAGTTCGTCGATGGTTTGTTGATACTGTTTGGCCTGATCTGAAAGTCGCTTCTCAGTCTGGCTTAGCTCAGATTCTAACTGGCTCTTCTCTAGTTTCAAGGCTTCAATCCGGGTCTCTTTCTCCAGGGACATCCTGCTTACAGAGGCTTGACCATCTTGGATCTGCTTTTCCAAACTGTCAATCTTTTCTAAAGCCTGAGTGCTCTCTTCTTTCAACATTCTATTTTCAATTTTCAATTCAAAATCCTCTGAAATGGCCCTCTCGTAGGAGGTCTTTACTTCTGCTAACTCTGTTCTCAAGTCCTGGATCTCTTTATCCCTTGTCTCAAGTACCTTCCTGTGTTCCTCTAATGCGTTCCCCTGCTCCCCAGAATGACTTAACTTCTCACAAAGTGCAGTAAGTTCTGTCTCGCTTTCCTGAAGCGCCCTCTTGAGGTCAGAGGACTCCTGCCGCAGCTCTTTGCCCAGATCCTGTGACTTGCACAACTTTTCCCTCAACTCTTTTACTGTGGATTCCAGTTGCTGCTTTGCCATGTGCAGTTCATTCAAGGAGAAGGCACTTTGACTTAGCTTCTCCCCCTGAGCTTCCAGCTCCAGCTGAAGAGTTTGTCTCTGGTCAAGGGAGGAGTTGAGATCTGACTGAAGATCGGATTTTTCCGCATCAGCCTGGGTTTTCTGCAGGGACAGCTGTTCCTTCACTGCAATAAGATGCTGGAGAAAGAAAACTATGTAAGTATGTAGTATATCAACTCAAATTCTAAACACATTAAACAGATCCAATAATTGTACTCTGTCTAATAAAAACATACACTGGTTCAAAAAGAGTACCTGTGTGGCCTCCTGGTTCTGCTTGTCCAGTTCTTCCAGTTCAGCACTGAGTGTCTCTATATCAAGATGGGCTTGCTTTAGAGCTTGCTCCCGTTGGACTAGCTGACTCTTTAGGTCTGAAACTTCCTGTGACAGTTCCAGAACACTTTCTGACTCTCCTGCCTTGTGCCTCTGCTCGGCCAGGGTCAGTCTCTCAACTAACGCAAGCTAATGAAGAAAAATAAAAAAGGGTATGAAACTAATGTCAGTTAAGTGTAAATTACCATTTACATGATAACATGCAAGCGTCTTTTCAAAAAGCTGTTGAAATATTGATTACCCCATCTTCAAAGATTTTTTTATTCGAAAGATACAAACTTCTGTTCAAAAACAGGAAGAAACGGGTATTAGTGTGTACCATCATATTGTCAATATACACATACCTTTTCTCTCTCCACCTCTTCCTTCTCTTTCCTGAGGGTATCAATGATGGTGTTGAGTTCCAGTATGTCAGCATGTTCTACTTCTTCTGTAGGACTGCTCTGAATTAAATGAGAGAAAAATAAATAAATAAATAAAAAAATAAAAAATGTAAACCGTATTGACACTCATCCTCACACTTACATTATTTGCAGAGGCAACCAGAAAGTGTCCAAACACTTTCTTAATTTTGAACATTTTATCAATTGTTTTATATTTGAATCCTCAGCATGGCTAAAAACATCTAAATATTATTGGGCTACAAACTTCTAAACTGTCCAGAGGAAGGTTTTTAGCAAATTTACCTCACTGAGAGTCCTCAATCTAGCCATCTCTTTCTCTGCACCTAAAATAAAATACAAACATATAAATATGAGAGAGCAGTATGAGCAATATCAGAGATTTTTCCATCCAAGAACATATGATTTGATCTAACACAATTTGTTGTGTTCTCTATACCTGCCAGAGCTTTTTTCAGGATTTGTATCTCATTGTCATGCTGGGCTTTCAGCATAGACTTCCCTTCCTGTTCCTGTACTCGAGCCTGGAGTTCGTTTACAGACTTCTGAAGGCGACTGTAATTCTGCAACAATTCTGTATTTTCTGCTGTAGCCTCCTCCTTTTCGCTCTCTAGCTTGGCCTTCTGATGCTCTGCCTCCTCCAAACTGGCCAATAGATCGCTGTGCTGTTTACACTGAAGCTCTGCCTCCTCCTGTAAAGACTGTATGGTTGATTGCAACTCTTGAAATTTGGCGGAGTCCTGTACTGTGGTTGATTTTTGGACAACACTTGCACCTTCTGAAGAAGAGGGAGATAAACACAGCATTGTACTCAAAATTCAACTGTTAATTTCAAAACTAGCAAATACAAAGCAAACACGTTATCTGCATTTAAAAAGTTCAAAAATGTCCTGACTTTTATTTCCTAATATCCATCAATGTTTCTCCTCACCACTTTGAAGCTGCTCCTCAAGCTCCTCGATTCTCTCCTCATACTCTGCCAGCTCCTCTCTGTGCCGTTTTGAGATTTCAGCCATTTTCTGCCTCTGGGCGTCCTGCAATGCTGCCAGTTCGTGCTGGTGCTCATCCACCTCCCGTGCCATTTCCTCTCTCAGCTCCTGATTGGGTCAGAACGTCAGTTGGGTTAAAAACAGAACCAGATCCCAAGCACTGACCAACAGGAAAGCACCTACTCTTTGTTACAGATGAAAAGGTTTTTCACCTTGATCATTCTTTGCATTTTCAGAACTTCACCCTGGTCTCCGTTACCATCAACTCCTGGTAGCTTGGATGCCTGATAAATTGAAATATAATAAAATATATAATAAATAATCTAATTCTAGTTTATAGCTCTCTCATGATATAATTGTAAAATTAAAAGTGACCTGAGCAACTCTCCTCCAGTGGGCCACTTCAGACTCTAGACGATGCACCTCATTGGAAAGACGGTTAATTTCCTGCTGTGACCACAGGACATCACTGAGGTCCACCTCATCACCATGGAAGCCTTGATGGACAGCTGTAGACCGGTGCAGAAAGGAAGACGAAGTAGTGGTAGTGGCAGCAGTGGTAACAGGAAGTACAGCAGCATCAGAGGAGGATGAGCTGGCTGCAGCCTGAGCAGAATGTTGGAGTTTCTGAACCTCCTCCTGCAGACCGCTCTGACGGGCCTTGAGGTGACTGATCTCCACCTTTACAACAATAAACATACACACAATATCATCCGCATGATTCTAAACTTTTGAAATTCTCCCACTATAAATTAGATAAGTGTAATTCTTTTCCCAAAAAGAAAAACCTCTTTCTGTTGCAGGAGGGTTCTGTATTCCACTGACTGCTGTTTGACCTGAATCTCTGCCGCCTCCAGCTTCTCCTCCAGCTCAGAGTTTATTCTTCGCAAGCGCTCATACTAAACCACACAAAAGCAAATACATAAAAATAAAAGAATTCAATTACAGATGTTAATGCACTGACAAAATGTTTTGAAACAACTCATCCTTTAACTGAATTATGGTGCATAATTAGGCATTTTTTTAAACAATGTGTGCAAATAAAAAGTAGAAATGTCTTCATTTTCAAGCACACAAAACATTAAGTCTCATGACAGAATTGAGAAATATCTTCAGCATTAGACTAGGACTTTTTTGTGCTCGATTAATCACCTCAGATTTTTGTGTTGCATATAAAGTCTCCAGTTCCTGCAATCTAGAGTTGGACACCTGCAGCTCAGAGGAAGCATCTGTAAGAAAGAAAAACATGCTGACATTTAATAAAGTCATGGTTCCTGAAATAGTTGAGCCTACATCTGTGCATGCAGATCTATTATACAGCAATTGTCTCAAGTGTGAGTCATATATATATATATATATATATATATATATATATATAGAGAGACAAGTCCTTCCCATTTATCTAAATAAAAATATCTGATGAAAATGATGATAAGAACTTCTGTTCTTCTGTACATCATTTCTAAGTCACTGAAAGAGATGATACACTGACTAACTCCAAGACCTCACTGAATGAGAAGGTTAAAGATGAACAATCCTTGCCAGGTGTGCAGAAAGTAAAAATATCCTATTAAACCACCAAAACCCTACTACATTTGCATTTTCCAAAAGAATCATTTAAAGTCATGGTTTTAAAGGACACATTATTCAATTGTTGGGTGACTGTCCCTTTAAATAGGCTACCAACATTGCAGGAGGATCAAGTTTAGTTATTTTTTCCCAGCAGCTGCACAGCCACAGCAGATATTACCTATAACCAACAAGTACACTTAAATAAATACAGACTCCTAAGCAAATAACTAAAGCTATTAAAAAAAGCACAATATAAATAAAACTCTTGAGAGTGAAAAAAACAACAATAATAGGTAACAGCAGGTTTTTGTCCACAAGCTTCCATTTCAATGTCCATTTCAAAACGGTTCAGGTTCACATGACAAACAAGAGTCATTTACACACAAACCATACTGTGTTTCAACCCCACTTGCAAATCTCATGTATGCAAACAAGACTAACATGAACTTATTTTTATTATTTAATGCATAAAATATGGATTTGAGAAAAACTAGCACAAACCGCAGCAAGTCTGAGGTTAAACACAGTTAGCTAAACTAACTCACTACTTTTGGGCATTAAGGAACTATTTACCATAGGAAAATGTCTGCCTTAAAAACACAATTGGGGTGGAGTAGCATAGTGTATAATAGCAATAACTGTATTAAATTACCATTAGTTAGATGATCCTCTTGAAGTATCATGGAGCTAAGCTTAAAGGGATAGTTCACCCAAAAATGAAAATTAGCCCATTACCCTCAAGCCATCCTAGGCATATGACTTCCTTCTTTCAGATGAATCCAATCGGAGTTATATTAAAGGGGTCATATGATGCTGCTAAAAAGAACATTATTTTGTGTATTTGGTGTAATGAAATGTGTTTATGCGGTTTAAAGTAAAAAAAAAACATTATTTTCCACATACTGTACATTATTGTTTCTCCTCTACAACGCCAACGTCTTACGTCATCCGCCCGGAGCTGCTTCCATGTACAACAGTTAGTGCAAGCTAGATTAAATTGATCATTACGTTTTAAAAATGATTATTTTTCGTACAAAAACGCATCGATTCGCTACAGGAGGCCTTTGTTCACCCCCCGGACCGCTGACTGCCATTAAACAGCTTGGAAGATCAAAGTCAATTTTTAATATAACTCCGACTGGATTCGTCTGAAAGAAGAAAGTCATATACACCTAGGATGCCTTGAGGGTGAGTAATTCATGGGCTAATTTTCATTTTGGGGTGAACTAACCCTTTAAGGCTACGGTTATGGCCATGGCTCACTGCATGAATCTTATGGGGCTTGCTTCACTCAGAAACATTTTTAGCCATAACACCACTCTACAAGTTAACAGCACCTACTAAATAACTACTTGATATTGTGTTGCAAAAAAAGTGATGGAGTCACTTCAATGTAGCCTTCATTTAAAGCAACGTATAACAATAATAGCGACAATCCATCTGAAGCTCTGTCTTTCTCAAGGGCACATTGCATGTAGGTGGTCTCTGTTGTTGTGGAAGAGGACAAACCCCTACCAGGTGTCACACCTGCCACTTCCAAGCAGCCAGCCTAAAAACATTGCCAATATACCACTGGTAACAATTTACAATAAGTTTCTATATGTTAAAAGTAATTAATGCAATAGATGACATGAAATAGCAATGAAAAATACTTTTACAGCATTTATTAATCTACTTTGTTAATGTTTTTTTACATATAGCTACTAATAGCCTATATTTTTAACATTTCAAGTTACAAATATTAACATTACTAATATTAGCATTATTATTACTTAATGTACAATCAATGAACAAGAATTAACAATAAATAATATTAAAATTAGCCTATATTATTAAATGCTGTTCAGTGCTTTCATGACACCTAATGTTAACAAACATAACGTTTGGTAAAGTTGACACACCACCTTTATGTAGTATAATCTGAAAGACAACAAAAGCAGGTCATTTTTTGTAAGTCTGCTTTAAAACAGGCAGGTTAATGCATCGGGAGACATGACATATTGACTCAAGGTCTGTCTGCTTTGCTGGAAGCTGCTGATCAAAGTTCTCAGTGTGCTCTGTGTGTGTCTGTTCACTTCTCCAAAGGTCAAAAAGGCCATATTGTTGGTGGTAAAAAAAATTAAAAAATAAATAAAACCATACTTCGGTGTTTGCAAAATCACTGAGCCAGATACAAGGACCAAGGTAGAGATACACACCAGTGCTTAATATTAAGTTCCCATTCACAAAAGAAAGAAACATCCAGCACTTTCTGGATTAAGATCAAGTGCCTAAACTCCAGCCGAAGCTACATTTCTAATAGGGATTCAGCGGCTGTATGCAAACAAACCTCTTACTCTGTCTTAAGCGCACTGCAGCATCAGATGACATTTGCAGAGAATGACAATGGAAATCCTAAAGGGACAGTTTACCCAAAAATGAAAACTCTGCCATTTACACACCCTAACCTCTTGTTTCTTCCAAACTTGTGTGACTTTCTTTCTTCTCAAAAGGAGGCTCTGTCATTATTCACTTTCATTACATAGAATAGAGGCTGCAGGTCCCTAACATTTCCTTTTGTGTTCCTCAGAAAGTCAGTCATTTAGGTTTGGAAAAGTATAATAATTTTCGTTTTTGAGAGCACTTTCCTTTTAATTTCTTCGACCAGATGCCAATGTAAACAAAATCACATCTTTAAAAAAAACTGCTAAAGTATAGTCACATCTCAACAATCAGACAAAAACAATTAGCACATTTCACAGTGAGATTAACTTGGATATATAAAAACCAAGCATAACTGGATTGTGTTCATAAACCAGTCATCATAAAACTGTTACATTCATTAGTCTAGCCTACAGTTGTGATCACTAAATATAAATGCATAATAGACAATTATATAACAAAACAGCTGACAATACTGTACAAACACTGTAAAAGTGCTAAATGTCTGTATGGGAAGTGAAATGATCTTGACTGTTGTCAACTCACCTACCACTTCCTCGGCGCTTTCCAGCAGAATATCTTTGGTAAAATTAGAGATCTGCCCGGTGAAAGAAGACAAGCTTCCCCCGACCTGACCCAAACTCTGACCCAGGCCAGAGCCTAACCCTCCCAGCCAAGACATGATGAGCTGAACCGGATCTAACCCTTAATCACCGACACGGGCCTCTCAGACACACAGACAACAATGCATTGACAGCATAGATCCGTGCGAGCGAGGGCTTCATGTACTCAAGCGAATTAATAATTAGCCTTTGTTATTAATAGACGTAATAATTAACCAGCGGCGGATCCGGATTCCAGCTGGTTCAAAACTTCTTGACATAAAGACAAAACGCCGGGTTATACGTGTTAAATCCACAGGAATAACGAAGACCTGGTCGCCGGGTTATATCCACATATGGACAGGCAGGTTTCTGGTACGGGTTTGTTTTGGGTCACTGTGTTTTTCACGCGAATAAAGTGCCAGCTCGACCGGACTAATCATCCGTCAGCGGAGACGTGGACAGCACAGATGGATTATGGGACGGTGGAGGACCAACACAATACAGCGCACTCTTTTCACGCATTAACAGCGACGCCACTGGACAGAAAGAGTCCTGCAATCATGTGATAAAACACTCCAACTTTTGTTTTGGCCAAGTTTTGTCTATAATATATCTGAGGCCATAATCGAAGCTTTTTTTTGGTGGGGGGGGTCCAATATGATAATATTTATATATTATACGATAGCATTTTTTTAATTTCAATATATTACAAGTATATAACATAAACTAGAATTCAATTATTTCTCAAGCACCAAATCAGCATATGAGAATGATTTCTGAAGGATCATGTGACACTGAAGACTGGAGTAATGATGCTGAAAATACAGCTTTGCAACACAGGAATAAATACCTTAAAAAAGAAAAACCGTCATTTTTGTAATAATATTTCACAATATTCCTGTTTTTACTGTATTTTTTAATAAAATGCAGCCTTGGTGAGCATAAGAGACAATCAAAAATCTTACCAACCCCAAACCTTTGAATAATATATAATCATGTATGTATGTATAATTCATTAGATATTAAAATATGTGTTATTTTTATTTTAATAATGAATTATAAAATATAATATATAATACATTTACTGTAGTAACTTCTACATTTTCCTCATTATCACCACTGAGTACTTCTAAGAATAGAGAGTCACAAAAGTAGCTGGGAGAATTAAGATTATGTCCACGTTAATATTTATTAAGATAAATCTACAGTGTGAGGAATACAATCTGTTATTTCCTGTAACAAAAATAGTCATGATTACATTTGCGTGAAACAGAGATGGATAAAAGACAAAAGATTCTCAATTGAATAAAATCACACCTTTAAATTACACCTTAAATATTCCACTTTATACTGTTCTTAACACTCACGCCAAATTTGACTGAAAGCATTCAATCATGTATGGGCCAAAACAGAAAATAAATGAGGTGAATGAGGGGAAATGCGAGAGAAACTGAGTCACAGAGAGAGAGAAAGAACCGCCAACAGCATGTCTGTGCAAATTGAAGATGAATGCATACTGAGCCACTGTACAGCAGCCTGAAATTTCCCTAAGCTTAACCTTTATTAACCCTTACTAATCTCAAACAGGTTATTATGTGTTATTACAGGTAGAAAGTCCTTTATCTCCCATCAGGATGATTGTGATGCATCTCTGGTGTGTATGTCAAAAGGACAATCATTACCCAAAGGTGTAGTAGTGCCTGGATAGAAAAACATAGATTAAGAACCATAAATAAACACAACCTCATCCAGCTTTTCCTTAAAACTTTTAATTCTTCATTGTAACTTAGAAGTATTCCTTAATGTGCTGTGTACTCACCATATAAATAATAACAAAAACCCTGGCCATGGGGTAACGTCTGAGAAAGATTCCTAGACGTATACTGGAGGAAAAGATAAAAAACAAAAACACACATTTTAATACTATTGGGACACTGTAAAATACATTTAGAAAACACACACAAAAAGGATTTCCAGGGACTCAATTACCTGAAGCGGTCGATGGTGCTGGCCGCTTTACGAACCTTCCCATACACTCCTGTACCCGGTCCGTCTGCATCATTAAACAGGATCGGTGTGTTCCTCTGCCTAGCACCTATACACACAAAAACAGTCACACACAATCATGTTGGGCTTCAAAGTATCAAAAGTTCAATTATTCTACACAAAAAAGCTCGAGTTAAGTGGTTTGATTCAGCGTTAATTTTATTATTAATATGAAAAATGTAGTTTTTATTATTAATTTGAATTAACTTTTGTTTTTATATTTTCTGTTTTCATTATAATTTTACACAAAGTTTTATTAATTTTGCTGTGTTTATACTTTTAGTTTTAATTGTAGTTAATGAAAATAACCTGGTTTGATTTAAAAAAAAAAAAAAGAAAAAAAAAAGTCCCATAAAAACAGTCCTTCTGGAATTTCCCATCATGCAGTGCACTGACCTGGTCCCTCCATGGCAGCCATGTTGATGTGTGAGCCGCTGTTCTGACCACACTGCAGGCTCTTCAGCTGCTGTTCCAGCCTCTCCAGCTGAAAGACCAGAGAGTTTTTCTCTGTGCCAAGGGCTTCTAACATGGTCTGCTTCTGAATCAGTGTCTCTGTCAGCTGGTGCAAACGGCCCTCCAGCTCCGCCTGACTGCTGTTGCTCAGAGCCTTGTTGGTCAGCTAGCAGAGGAATTGTAAAATTCACAATAAAAATTCAGAAAACTTGGAGCATGTGCACAGGTGTTTCTTTTAAAAATATTTTATTATAAAACCTTAATTGCTATTCCTACATGGGTACCTGGTTTCTAAGCTTTTGGATCTCATCTTCTCTGTCTTTGACGCGACCCTGAAGGGTGATTTTAGTGCGATGATGCTCTTCCTCAATGTACTGCAGTTCCTGCATTAAAATGTATCAACATTTACTCATTATTCAGAATATTCTTCTTTTTTTTAAAATAAAGCAATGTAACAAACCACAATATACCCACTCTTTCTTTTTTCTCTCTCTCTCAATCACGTACCTGTTTGGATCTTTCCAGTTCTGCTTCTATTTCCTGTTTGGCTCTGATCTGCTGGGCATGTTGTTCCTGTACTTCTGCCAACTGTTCTCTCCAGTTTTCTGTCTCTGTGAGTGCCTGGGTTTCCAGATCCTAGAGGAAACACGAAGAAAATCAAATAAGCAGAGTGATGTTTGTATCTGTGTTACAGCTGGCTAATATATATATAAATATATATATATATATATATATATATATGATATAATATATATATATATCATATTATATCACGACCACAAAACCAGTCATAAGGGTCAATTTTTTTTATTTATTGAGATTTATACATCTGAAAGATGGATAAATAAGCTTTCCACTTATGTATGGTTTGTTAGGATAGGACAATATATGGCTGAGATACAACTATTTGAAAAACTGGAATCTGAGGGTGCAAAAAAA